CCTCCCGGGAGCGGGCCCGTGAGAGCGCACCCGCCCACGGCGCGGACGCCGGCCCTGCGTGGGAGGCGCGCGGCCCTGCGTCCCGCCTGCTGCGTGTCACCCCCGTCACGACTCCGCCGCGCACTTCGCCCCCGGCTCCGAACTCCGCCGCTTCCGCAGCCCCCCTCGGGCGCGGGGCTCGGGCTGCGGACCCCGGCTCTCGCCCCGAGGGATCCCGAGCCGCCCCCACCGCGCGTCGGACGTCAGCCTCCGCGGACCACCCCACCCACACCTTCCGCCCGCCGCCGGCGGGGGGGCCGCGCTCCAAGCTGTCAGAGCCCACGGCTTCACATGACAAAGCTCTCCTCGCCCTCCTGCCACTTGCGCAGCAGCTCAGCGGCGGGCTGAAACACAGTTAATTAAAGCAGGGGCAACGTCTTGGCTTCTCCCCTCTCGCGTGAAAAATAAACCCCAAAAGCAAAACGGAAGACGCGGTTGGACCCCACGCGCTCGCTTTAATGTTCTCGCTCCTGACCACTATCACCACCACCGTCCTCCCGAGAAAGGGAGACTTAGCCTCCCAAAACGCCACCAGCACACCTGCCCGGTGACCCGCCGTCCGGAAACCCTGGGCCGCACCCACGCCGCCTGCAGGGTACCCGCGCCTGGTGCGAGGTGGCGGCGATGCGCCCCAGAGTCCCAAGTCCCTGGAGGGGGCACAGAACCCCTTCGCCCCACCCGGGAGCGCCGCCCGCCCCCACGCCCACAAGCAAACCTGGGCATCCTGCGTCCCTCGGGATCCGAGGGCTGGGCTCCGAGGGCTGCCTTGCCCGAGCGCCCGCACCCCGCGTCCTTTCCCAGAAGCGCGTCCCCTGCCCCGATTTCCTGTTGACAGCTAAGGTGGGCGACGTGGAAGGAAGGCAAGAGTTGTCTCCAGGTTCGGGAAGTCGGTCTCCGCGGAGTGAAGAGGTGGGATCTCGAAATGGAAACAGCCCCCTCCGCCCCTCCCTCCCCTCCTCCTCCTCCACCTCCTCCTCTTCTTCTGTTTACCTCAAGTTTGAATTTTATCTGCGCAACATTAGCTGGAATGCGGACATTGAAGGAAAAAAAAAAAAAAAACACTCGCTCTCTACCCGGCAGCAGCTCCGGAGGAGCCATGTGGCATGAAGCCACCGCAAAGGGGAAAAAAGTGCTCTTAGCAACACAAACATGGCGAAATAGCTCCGACAGGCCCGGTTCACGCACCGCCCGGCCTTCTCTCCTCGCTCGCCGGCCGAACCCCCGGGCTGGGGGCTGCAGAGCCCTCGGGGCACCCGCGAGGAGGCGGGGGGCGCGGGCGGTATCCGCGCAGTCCGCGGAGAAGTACTGCCAGTTGGCGACCGAACCCGACTGCCTCAGCCCCCGGAGCTGGAAGCCGAACAACACCCCGGCCCCAGGTCCTCCTCGACCGGCTTCCCACCCTCCTCAACTCACCTCCCGGCCGACGCACGCCGCTTCCATCCCATTCCCGTCCTTTCCTCCCGAGCGAGTGAGACGCCGGAGGAAAATGATGCGCACGTAATTTGTACGGCGTATTCTTCGAGAATTTCCCCGGGATGATGACGAGGAGTGACGGAGACTGGAGACAGGTGCAGGTCTGGTGGCCGAGCTGCCGGCAAAGTTGCTCTCCGCGGCGCGATGGGCAGCGGGGGGCTCTGGCCAGGGCCGAGGACCCCAGACTCCCCGCCCCCCGCCGTCGCCCACTTGTCACGCCGGGCTTCTGCGTGCGCTCGGCTGCAAGGGAGGTGGCGTAGTTTCTCTTCCTCCCACCTCTTCTCACTCACTTGTTTTTGTAGCCGTGGGCTCTCCTCATGCTTTCCTCGCCACAATGTTGTTTCATCATATCATGTCCATCATGTGACACCGGAGAGGCCTCTATGGAAACTTAAAGGGGTTCCCACGTGACTGCAGTGGCAACAACAGCGGCAGGACTGGTGGCGGCGGCCGAAGCTATTGTACCACCACCCATCGGGAGCCCCTCGCTGCATCCCCAAGGTGCTTCTGGCGCTGCAGAAGCTCGGGGAAGCATCCGGGAGCTGTGGCGTCGGTACGTGCGTGCAGCCTGTGCTCCTACCCAGCAAGCCGAACAGAAGGAGCGTCCTTAAATCCTTTTCTACAGTCACAAAACCCACGCTCTGTTAAAATGACATTTCGTGGCTCCTACTTTATTTCCCCCAAAGAGCAATGAGTTTTCTAGCCGGCCTGATTAAATTAAAAAAAAAAAAAGATTTGTCCCTCTGTGAGTTTAGTTCCATATCACTGTAGAAATGCCAAAACAGTAACAGAGAGTTAGGCTTTTGATACGTAATTACCATCAGCACCAGTTTTAAAGCTTTGTGGAATTACATTCCTCCGGTAACTGTTGATGCTCACAGGAGACAAAAATGCAATGCTGTTTTTCTCCTCCGCAGCTATATTAGGGCTTTGTTGCTGACAACAGTAAAAACTTGTTTGTGTCAGGAAGTGAGGTATGAAGACAGGACCTGAAAGGTACAGACAAAACCAAAGTGGCAGTTTTGCATTACTTTTCTGACCATATTCTTTAAAATGGTGACAAGCAGAGGATCTGCTAATAAAATGTGTGATGTTTTATTGGAAATAAAAATCAGGAAAACATTCCCCTCTCATACATGGTAGACACTAGCTATTACACAAATACATATAGGCGTGAAGAGTGAGGAGCACGTGCATTTTTCTCGTGTTTTGTCCTCATTTCCAAAATTGAACTATTTAACAACAACTCTGACTTACTCAAGTCCAGTGACGTGTGGAAACTATCAGTTTTCAGTACTCTGGTATTACTGACTCACAACCCCCTTTGGGGTTTCCACCTTAAATCGTAATTCTCTGTCTTAAAAGTGTTGATGGACCATGAAAATGTTTATCTTATGAATCTAAGCTAGATAGCTATTTTTGTGTTTTGGTTCATGCTTTTCCATTTTAGAAGGAACGCTGGATTGGCAAAATTATGAAGAAAAAAAAAACTTTGCAGGAAACTAGAGTGGGATGAAAGCTCATCTTTTTCTTCCGGCCTTGCCTTGACTGTATTTCTTTCCACCTCATCAGTTTACCTCCTCAGCCATGATAAATGATCCTCATAGCATCTCTTCAGATTCCATAAATCCCTCCATTTTTACCTCGCAATCTCATGCCTAATTCTTCATCCCTTTCTCCTTGTCTGCCCTTGCCTCCCTTCCAGCTTACCCCCTTTTTTTTGGCCTGGGTGCTTCACTCAGGACTCCCCCTGGCCCCCAATATTCCCTCCCAGCCTTCTTCCCCTCGGCTCCCTGCCCCCACCCTTTTCCCAGCTCGGTCTCTCTAACGCAACTCTACCTCCTTACCTCTGTTTGACCTCCTTTCATCTCCTCCACAGTCTGACCCATCACCTCCTTTAAGTCTGACTTAAAGGCCTCTCCTTACCTTTCTTTACCTGAAATGTGCTGCCCCTTACTGGGGTCTCCTTGACACCCTCCTCTCTGGTCCCATCCCTTCTGCGGTCAAGCCCAGCATTCCTCCACGGCTTGGCCTGGTCAGCTTGAACCTCATTTTGTTCGCGTGGCCCTGCGCTTCTGGGAAAAAGAGTGTGTGGTGCACAGTGAGACCAAGACTCCCCTTGGTCCGAGGCCCCTGCCTCGCCCCCTCCGCCCCTCCCGAGGCCGGGTTGCGGCGCTTCCTGGGCGGATGGTTTGGACCCGCTGCCGCAGCTGCGGTTCTGCTGTGTCATGCAAGAAGGAGGCGGCGGCGGCGGCGGCGGCCGGAGCTGGAGGGGGAGGAGGGGAGGAACCTGATCCTCCGGTAGCTAAGGGCTGGAGGCAAACACCGACCTCCCCCAGAGCCGCCCGGGAGTAGGGAGGGCTCCGCCACCCGAGGGGCCCTCCCCGCGGGGCAGAGGGTAAGTGGGGCGGCGCAGGTGGTCGCCTTGGGAAGGGAGCGCACAGGGGGGTCCGGCGGGGTGGTGGGAGCACCTGGAACTACGTCGTCCCAAGTAAAGAATTCCAGTGTTCAGCTGAGAGGGACCCCGGCTGCAATAAGGATGACCAGCCAAAGGCAGCCATGACCACTATTCGAATAACGCCCCACAGTTGACCCAGGCTGCGCCGAGGGTGGAGTTGTGCATCCCGAACTCGGGACTGAGCTGGAAGCAATGATTCAGAGTTGGAGAAACATCACCCAGTCAGTCGCCCTGAATAGCAAAAGCCAACACACCCCATGTTCCTAGTCTAGCCTTGCTGCGCTTTCTGGATTGTCTTGTTCAAAACTAGGCAAAGGAATGGGAAACCTGCCCAGCCTCACTTTAGCCACGAAAATAATGCTCTTGGCCAGTGGCCCTAGACAAACAGCCCCTGGTGCAATTAAACAATCAATAGGAAAAAGGGCTTCATCTCCCTCATTGCCCTCCTTCCCTGAGCTCCTTCGACCAGGATAATTCATTGTGCTTTAAAGAGAAAGAAAACGTGTTGTATAGCTTCCCACCCACCCTGCTGCCAGCCTCCCGCCCCACAGCACCAACCGCAGACTGCATGCCCTGCGCCCACCCCACCTTAAGAGCTATGCTTGGGGAGACGGTGCTCCGTGTAGCATGATGCCTTCAACTCCCCCAAAACTCACCTCCTTTGCCTTTGACCCTAGGGGACTCAAAGCTTAGGGCTGAGCGCAGGGATGTGGAAGGAGGATGCGGAGGAATAGGCTGCACACATATGAACCTTATTTTTTTCATCTAATACAATTCGCAGGACCACTACGCATTATTATTATTATTATTTCTTCCCATTTCGCTTGTAGAAATTTTAAAAAGCACTTTCTGAAACATCATTTTTTAAAAAAATGTCAGTCATACATTTAAAAGTAAGGGGTTGATGGGATTAACTGAAAGGCTAATGACTGTCTCAAAAGCACATGCGGTTGCTAGGGAACTCGGGCTCATCCTGCTCTCTAATCACCAGCCTGTTAGGTGGAAATCAAACTGCTCGGGGTGTTATTAAAATGAATGGCATTTGGTTAAAGGCTTTCTTGCTTATGTTGTAGCATCTTGAATTATCATCAACGGCCTCCTACCCACATACCTTGTTTTCCTAATTTGATTTCTGTATTTGCGTCATTGCCAGGGACACTCAGACTAGACCAGTCAGGTTCACTTCCTGTTTCTCAGAACTGGTTTATATTTGGTCTGGTAGCACTAGCTGGTAAAACATTGTCAAGCCCGTCCTCTTGGAAAGAAAGCTTTGCTTTCAGTTCAAAACAAATTATACCAATTAAAGTCTAATTCCCATGAAAAACGTCATCATTTGAAAAATAAGGTAGACCGCCAGTCTACTTAATTAGCCATTTGAGAAAACCATTCTTGAAATGTAAGACCTAGAAAAATCCATCTTTATTTCTTTTACTCAGAATCTTCAGTCTTCGGCATTGGAACTAAAACAAATTCAAGTGAAGAGTAGATATGATGTTTCTAAAATGAAGCACACACACAAAAATACACATTCAAGCTGGGGAAGTCGTTTTGACTAAATAAGGCATATAATTGAATGGGATCCAGGCCCAGGAAGGACAAATAAGCTTGGGCTAGCATTGTGGCCTTATGAGAACAAAGTATGATTATAGGACTACACTGCAAATAGGAAACCCCATCACTGGTGTACTGTCTTTCTCCCGATTCTTCTATGTTCCTGGGCAAGACACTCTTACCCCTTCCCCAGTTCCTTCCTCTTTATACCAAGGATATTACAAAGACAATATTATAGGTATAAGACTATATAAATAGGCAAGTTCTCATGTGGATAATTCATTTAGATGGAAAATACAGCTCTTTGAAAATGATATGTGTGAGCCCAGATTGATAATATATGCCTAAAATCCCAGCATTCTGTGGTGCTGAAGCAGGAGAATCACAGTTGCTCAGTTTGGGCAACTGAGTAAAACACTGTCTAAAAATTTTTTTAAAAAGTCTGAGGAATGTAGCTCAGTTTGAAAGCCATGGGTTCAATCCCTAATACTATCCCCCCCAAAAAAAGCAGGAGAGAGAGAGAGAGAGAGAGAGAGAGAGAGAGAGAGAGAGAGAGAGAGAATGAAAAGGAAGCAAGGTCTTGTAGTTATGTTAGATGCAGTTCACTGTTACGGTTTGGTCCTAAAATTCTGCTTAAAAGACTCATTTATTCAGAAATAGGGCTTTTGGAAGGTGATTGGATCATGAGGGCTCTAATTTCATCATCGTATTAAGTTATTGATGGACTTAATTTTTTTTTCTTGGTTTTTTTCACACAGGGTCTTTGGCACGGGGTGTTTTGACACAGGGTAGAGCCACTCCGGCCTTGAACTCACAATTCTCCTGTCTTACCCTCCTGCATGCAGGGATTACCTGTATGCACTATCATGCCTGGCACTGAGGGATTCATCATTTGATGGCATTATTGCAAGGCGATGCAACTTAGGAGATAGTGCTTCACCGAAGGAAGCAGGCCGCTGAGTGGGCACAGCCTTGTCCACACTGCTTGCTCTGTCTTTCTCTGCTCCCCAGCTGCCGTGAGGTGAGCAGCTGTCTGCCACAGCATTCTTCCATGATGTTTCTGACTTGGAACCAACCATGCACAGACTAAGACCTCTTAAACCTTGGGTCAAAATATGGAAATCTTTCGTCCTTCAGGTTGACATTTTCAGATATTTTCTCAAAGTGACAGAAAGCTGACTAACATTCACCCACTGTACTTCGATGAGCAAAGCAATGGCATGATGGAGGAAGGGCTATAAAAAAATAAACAAGGAACTCACTGAATCCTTAGGCACCCAGTAATTTATTTGTCTTTAATTAGTGATAGGCAAAAACATACTTAATTTAGAGTTAAGCAAATTTCAGATTCAGTTTATTAAGAATTCGCATGAAGAAACGTAAGATTTATAGTGGAAAGAAAAGTCTTGACTTTGAAACCCAACTCTGCCACTTTATTCATTATTGAGTGCCTACAGTGTGTCAAATACTGTGCTAGTCCTGGGAATACAGAGATGGATAGGACCACAGTCCATGGCCTCTAGACCCTACAATCTGTTGAGGAGGCAAAGGAGTACACAGTTGATCACACAACTGTGAGATGATACAGAAGAACAGGGAAGGGACATGCGTATAAAGGATGAGTCTGAGGTGAGTACTGAGGGATGAACCGAAGTCAGCCAGACAGATGGGCAAATTCAAAGGGAGGTATTCCAAGCAAGAAAGTATTTTGTGTAAATACCTCGATGTTCAAGAGGCATGCCCAGAAAGTTGAGCATAAAGGACAGTGCCCACAGGAAGAAGATTCTCAATGAAGAATATTATAGCACTGCATGGCAGAAATCCTGAAATTTACATCTGAAAAGATTAGCTTGGTTTTATATGGTAAAAGACTTTATATGTTTGTTTTTTTTTAAAGAAGTTTGAATTTAGCTTAAGGCCAAGGGAAAACCACTGATTAATTTTAAGAAGTATAATGAAACATGATCGTATGTCCAGTTTAGAAAGAGCCTGCCAGTTTGAAGAATTTATTGGTAATTATAAGTAAGGAGACTAGGAGGTTATTTGAGCATTATGGAAAACAAAATGGACATGCAAACTAAAGCAGCAAGAGTAGAAATAGAAGGGAAGGATATGGTAGTTCAGACAGCTAAGCAACTGAACTTGATTATTGATTATATCTGTAGCATTAAGGAATAGTGAATGATTTATGGCCTACATAAATGGGAAGATGGTGGTGTCTTTCATCAAGATGGGGACCTACCTGAGGAGAGGCAAGGTAATTAGTTTAATTTTAAATATGTTGAGTTTGAAGTATACATATGTGTCAAAGTGAAGCCATCAACTACATAACTGAACAGGAGGATCTACAACTCTGGAGAGAGAGCCAATCAGAGTAACTGATAGTTCATAGGCATTGCTGGGATGCCTATAAAACCCAGTAAAAAGAAAGAAGAGTGCTTAGTAGGGAACGCTATAAAAATATCAGAGGTGAGGAAAGAAAGACTCAGGGGAAACAATAGATAGGAGAACCAGGAACAGGGAACGCAGAGGGTGAGAGAGAAACAACAGCATTAAGGACTCCAGAGAGATCCAGAGAAATGAGGCAGAAAAGTCCGTGTATTTAGCAACAAGAAGGTCATTGGCATGTTTGGCAAGAAACATATTTATGAGTAAAAGGTAGATAGTAACCAGATTGCAGTGGATTGAGGGGTGAGAAGTTCTTTTAGGTAAGAAGCACTAAAGGGCAAATAGGGAAAGAACGTAAAGGTATCAGTTATTGGGAAAAATATTTAAAGTCATGGTCTGTGAGGATAAGGACATATAGGAGCAAAAGGAAATAATGTAGCAGTCCAGATTCTTTTGACCTTCTTCAAATTAAGTGATACCACCATCCACCAATTGCTTCAGCCAAGAAACATGCAGATGTTCATGATTCTTCTCTTTTTATCAGCTTTCATGATCCATCCATGAGAATTTAGGTGACCTCTCATTCCAAAACTTGTCCATCTTCACTGCTATCCTCCTCCTCCAAGCCACCACCATCTCTCTTCTGTGCTCCATAATAGCTTTCTAAATGTTTTTCCTGCTACTGTGGTCCTTCTCATTTTCTGTACCACAGCTAGAGTGACATAAGTCAGATATAAAAACACAGATCAGATTCCGTCACTCGTCTTAGAAACCCCCCACATACTCTGATTGCACTTGGAATGAAGTTCAGAGGAGCTTCCTGGC